CTCACATACTTCCTAACCAGTATCAAACAAAACTGACATACTTCCAAACCTGTGTCAAACAAAACTCACATACTTCCTAACCAGTATCAAACAAAACTAACATGCTTCTCAACCAGTATCAAACAGAACTAGCATACAACCTAACCAGTATCAAACAAAACTAACATACTTCCTAACCAGTATAAAACAAAACTAACATACTTCACAACCAGTACCAAACAAAACTAACATACTACCTAACCAGTATCAAACAAAATGGTAGATTTACAGCTCAAATAAGAAAAAATAATCTTATTGTAGGTTTTTCTGTTTACATAGTTTTTTTTTCATTGTGTATTATACCCACGCTTATTAACGTTCTCTTCTATCAAAAAGTGGTGAATTTCTCGCTTTATCCTAAATATTATGCACCTCTAGGACAGGTGTGCTATATTTCATTCACTAGTTTTGCTTATTTTTGATTCTAGTTTCAGGGGAAGTTTTTCAGAAAATTGTCAGTAACCCCTATCATCGCCGAGCAATAAAAATAATATTGGTAGAAGTATTATTTTTCTTAGTGGTATGAATGTGAATAAGAAATCTCAGTGTGCATACTTTACAAGGTTTGATTATCAAACAAGTAAAATTTGCTTTGAAATTATTTTCAAAATAGCCTTTATTTTACCATTATTCGTCCCTAAGGGAAGCAACTTCACAAATTAAGCAAGCAAAGTGCAGCAGGAAACGCTGGACTGGTTGCATGTCACGCGAGCAATCTAGCGCCCACGGCCAGCGGATCTCGCAGATTTAACAATATATATTAGTCTTAGTGCTAGCGAGATGGAGCTATCAATTCAACCTGCATCAATTTAGCTGATGCCGTTACTTAATTCCTTTTAGCTGTAAGTAAATATTTATTCTTGAAGGCATACGGTGAACATCGCTTGATAAAAATGAAAAATACCCTCCTCCCATTCATCCAGTCACTTTCGTTCCCATAGTTCATTTTGCATATGTTGCCTGGGTACGAATGTCATCGGGTGTCACTGATGCTTATGACTCTTTTACACATGTTGTAGTGCTGACAGGTAATCACACCTTCCAAACCACTGTAAATTACTTGCTGAGGTGTGTAATATTAGCAATATCCTAATCTCTATATTACGTCCCTATATGAGTTGCCTCCATTTAAATATTTAGTTAACCAGCAATGATTACAATCTAAGTGTCATAAATTGATGTAACACACACAACTATGTGTAATCCATCAAGAGCTCTTGAAGAAACAAAAAGGTCAAAATCCTGCTTCAGCTCAAACAGTGGGTGCTATCTTATAAACACAGCAAAGTGGCATTTCTTGCTGTAAAACCGGCTCCTAATTCACCTAAGAATTATCACAGAGTTACATGTGATGAATTAGGAGCTAAGCTGAATGTAAATTCAATTTTCAAGTTGCTTTAAATAAATAAATAAAGTGTGATGTGATGAATTAGGAGCTGAGCTAAATGCAAATTCAGTTTTAAAGTTGCTTTACTTTGCTGTGTTTATGATGAAGCACCTACTGTTTGAATTAAAGAGTTTTTTTTGCGCTCAGGCGGTTTTGATGGAAATCTATTAGGCCGTCAAGAAATTAATGTCGCTTTTTTTTAGATAAAAAAAACCGAACAACTTGTATATCAAAACAAAACATTTATTAAATGAAATAGTTTCCATTCTTATCGATGATGCTTTTCCATCTTACAACCAGGTTGCTAATGCCCTGATTAAAGAAATCACTTGGCTTTGAAGCAAAAAACATGTCGATGTCCTTTTTAACACCTTCTATATGTGCATACGTTTTCCCATTAAGATGGTGTTGCAGCGAACGAGAATATGATGGGTGGGGGAGAACTTCCCAACTCAACTCCATAATCTTGTGTTGCGTCAAACGTGCCACATGTGGACTTGCATTGTTGTGTAGAAGAAGAACATCTTTCCGATTGACGAGCATTTCTGATGAAGGGCTTGATTTAAATGTTCCAGTTGCTGACTATAGATC